CTTCCTGCCAAATACACTCTCAAAAATGGCTGCTGTACTCTCATCTCCTTTTTTAGGAATCTAAAGAATTTGCTGCATGACTTTGAACAAATCTGATTCACTCTGAGCCTTGATTTTCCCCACCTCTGAAAGGGGTTATGATTATCCTTTCCATCTTGTCTGGGTGCGGATACTTGGTGCTTGATAGTTTTGGGGGTTGCAGCTGGTTGGCTCGAGGACAGTTTCTAAGGGGAACTTCCAAGCTGGACAAAGATACTAGGCTACATTTCAGAGAGGGAAGCTGGAATGAGGGAGGCGCCTGTTGGTGTAAGCTGTGGCCTGGCAGCAAGCAGTGGTCTCTTACCGATAGAGAAAGGCACAAAGGCCTCACTCTTCTTAAACTGCCCCTTCTCATCCAGGAAGTGCTGGGGGTTGAAATCTCGTGGGCTGGAGAAGAATTTGGGGTCTCTCAGCACAGAACCCAGCATAGGAAACACTTCAGTGCCCTGGTAGTGAGGAGGAAGGGGGATTTAAAAAGGTAGGTCAGGGGACGGGTGTTCTGAAAGCACACCGGAGTTGGAGGTGGGGAATAGGGTGCCCCAAGTAAAGAGAAATGGGAGGAATGGGAGTTGGGGTCCTCTGAGGGAGGAGTTTTGGAGCATTTGAGGTTTGTGTCCCTGAGATATGAAATTTGGGGGACATGAGGTCTCATGTTCTCTGAGAAAGGAAGTTTGAGGGACACAAAGCCTGTTTCTCCTGAGGCAGGAGGTTTGGGGGACATGTGCTTCATGTCTCTCAATGCAGAAGATTGGGGGGACTTGTGGGTTCATGTTCCCTGAGACAGGAAGTTTAGGAGACATGGGGTTCATGTCCCCCTAGGCAGGATGTTTGGGGGGGCGTGAGGCAGGAGGTATAGGGGAAATGTGGTTCATGTCCCATGAGAAAGGAAGTTTGGGTACGTGCAGTTGATTCCCTAAGGCAAAAACTCAGGGAGTAATGGGATTTGGGAATCTCTGAATGAAGGTTGAAGGGATGTGGTGCTTGGGGAAGTCTTTGTTTGAGGGAATGGAAAAGGGGCTGGAGAGCTTCTAATGGGGATGGGGCGCTGGGGTCATAGGGAGTGGGTTGGAGGTCCCTCTAGGCTGGGTGAGGGTGCACCTTGGGGAGGAAGAAGTCCCGAAACTTGGTGTCCCTGGTGACCCTGCGGGCCAGGCCCATGGGGATCATATCTCCGAATCTTTGGATCTCATGGATCACTGCCTCTGTGTAGGGCATCTTGGCCCGATCCTCGAACTTGGGCTGCCGGTTCTTGCCAATCACCTGGTCAATCTCCTCATGGACCTTGGCTGGGGGAGGAGAGGGAATGTGTTTAGGCATCTAGGGGTCTCAGAGCAGGGATAATAGTCCATATATGTAAAACTAGATGGATGACATGGGTCTATGCATGACATGGATGTAGACCATTCAAAGCAGATGTCAGCCATATGCACTGTTGGAGCAGGATCCTGTTAACCCAGTCATGCCAGAATCACAGGGGATGTGAGGAAGAAGTTTTAGAAGATGGTCTGGATGAGCAGGCAGTGGACACTCAGTGGGCTTAGCATAGGAGTGATTTACCCATCAGTTTGGACATTTTCAATATTTGAACAGCTGGTGAGACTCAGCTGGTACCTATCAGCTGAATATCGCTCTGTCTGGATAGCAAGGTGTATGAGGGTCCAGGGATCTGGGAGAGGTCGGGACATTGCAACAGGCTCAGAGGAGTTTTGAGGGTCTGTGACCCCACTTCCCTGCCCTCTACAGCCTTACCCTCCACATCAGGATGTTTCATGAGCAACAGGAAGCCGTAGCGCAAGGTCGTGCTGACAGTCTCCGTGCCAGCAAAGAAGAGGTTCAATGTTGTCAGGACTAGGTTCTTCAAGTAGAACTCCGTGTTGGGGTTGTTCTGTTCCTGCAGGAAGAGAGGGCTTCAGGCTGAGCCCACTCCCCACACCCTCAGGGTCTTTCTGGGGTTTTTCCTTTGGAACCACCTCTCTTAAATCCAGACCAAGTGTGAGAAGAGGGATCCTAGATCTGCCATGCTCTCTCTAGTTTCCATGCCTTTGCCCAGGCTGCTGGCTCTGCCCCAAATGCTCTTTTCACTGGCTGATTATTATTTTCCTGGCTGATTATCAGCTTCATTGTCACTTTTTAAATAATAGGAATTTTTAGAAAGAGAGGGATGGAGAGAGTGAATGAGAAAGAAGGACAGAGATGGCAAGATAGGGAGTTAAAGAGAAACAGATTTTCTGAGACAGAATTTTAAGTGACAGCCTCCTATTCCTTCCTTAAAAATCTTGATGTTTGGGGCCGGCCCGGTGGTGCACTGAAGAGTGCGCCGCTTGGGAGTGCGGCGGCGCTCCCGCTGAGGGTTCGGATCCCATGTGGAGACCGGTTCCCACTCACTGGCTGAGCGCGGTGCGGGCGCAACACCGAGGGTTGCAATCCCGTTGCCGGTCCCCGGTATGGGCGCGACACCGAGCGTTGCGATCCCGTTACCAGTCAGTAAAAAAGACAAAAAGGAAAAAAAAAAATCTTGATGTTTACTATGAAGCAATCTCAGCTCTTGTTCCTTTGAGCTTCAGACCCCCTAAAGCCCCATCTCTTTTCTTTACAGAAGGGAGACTGACACCCCGATGGGGGTGGAAACCCTCCAATGGCATATAGTAAAGCTGGGTCATCTATCCACATAAGAGTATCTGATAACCAGGGTATGAAAGGTTAGAGAGCATAGTGGCTAAAAGCACCAGCCTTAGAGTCAGAGACACCAGGGTTTAAACTAGAGTCCACTGTTTCCTCACTGTATGACCTCAGACAAGCTACTTATACTCTCTGGGCCTCAGTTTCCTCATTTGTAAAACTGGGGTCATGATAGAAACCCCTTCAAGAGCTGTTGTGAGGGCTAAATAGGTGAGTACTGTAAAGCACTTAAAATAGTGCCTGGCACACAGTAGTGCTGTAGAGCGCTTGCCATTGTAATTCACATGCACAAGTCCTGCTTGGTAGATGAAACAGTGATGGTTAATTACAATTGAAATTGTGAGGATTATTATGATGGGGGCTAATTTGAATGGGCCTCTGTTCCCCCACTCCACCCCCACTCCTTGCAAGCCTGGTTTCCTTCTGCCTGGCTTTGGACCTCCCTACATTGGCTGCTGAGCACACCTCCTGCATGCGGATGAGAAAAGAGTCGATGAAGTCCCGCGGGGAATTGGGATCCAGTGTGCGCTGGTTCTGTTCCACCTTCTTGGCTATGAAGTCCTCCAGCCCCTGCAGCTCCTTAAAGGCCTGTTGCTGGGGTCCTGGCAGGTGTTTCATCACCGAATAGAACATCTCATAGAGCTGGGGGTTGGGAAGAGAAGAAGAGAAGGAAAGGACAGCTGTCAGTGAGCAGGACCCACAGGGAGTGGGACCTGTCTCAGGGCAAGGAAGGCACTGGGTTAAAGGCACCTGTCCAGGTGTTTAAGTGTTTAGATGGGGCTGGATGGGAACAAATATCTAAGTTTTGGTGTGGGTTAAGTGTGAGGGTCACTGTTTAAGAATTTAGGTGAGATGGATTGGGGCACACATCCAGCTTTCAGATATTCAGGTGAGGCTAGATTGGAGCATACATCTGTATGTTCAGATATTCATGTGAGGTTGGATTGCAAGACACCTGTTCATGTGTTTAGCTATTCAGGTGGGGCTGTTATGGGGGGGTCACCTGTTCAGGTGTTTAGGTATTCAGGTAGGCTTGGTTGGAGACAGCTGTCCAGATACTTATTGGGTCTGGATTGGGGGATTTCTGTAAAGGCGTTCAGGTACTAAAGTGGGACTGGTGTTCATGTGTTCAAGTGGGGGAGGGGGATACCTGTTCTGCTTAGGTATTCGAGTGGGTTGCATAGGGGGGCACCTCTGTAAGATGTGTGAATAGGCTGGGTTGGGGTGTACTTATTTGGGAACAATCTGTCCAGATAATTATGTGTTTAGGGGTCTTAGCTGGGGTACCTGTCCAGGTGTTCAGGTATTTAAATGGGCTGTGTAGGGGGCACTCATCTAGATATTCCAGTGGGCTAGTCTGGGACACCTGTGTATTGTGTAGACGTCAAATGATTTTGGTGGGCTGGATTTTGCAGCACTAGGTGTTCAGGTATTCAGGGAGAGGGCTGAGGCTGTCACTGATCTAGGTGTTAAGATAACAGATGGGTAGTAACCATCCGTGAAATATTAACGTAAGTTAGGATGGGAACACCCGCTCAGGTGAGAGAGCTGAGGTGAGGGCAAGTATCTTGCTAGCAGGCTCTGTTGAAATATCCAGGTGTCCTTGGAGGCTGGGTATTGGGCACCCCTCTTGGGTTCTGGTGCAACTGTTCAGTTGTCCAAGAGTGAGGGCTGGTTTTCAGGTGACGCTGCCTGAAGGAGGACGGGAGTTTGGGGGCACCTGTCCCCTTGTGGGGGAGCAGTTGGCAGGTTGTGGTAGGGCCGGGCTGGAACGGGTTACCTGCCCTGTGGATGTAGCTGTGAACTGAAAGCTTCCCAGCATCATACGCAGTAGTGACAGGAACTCTTTGTCCTCATAGTCAAAGCGGTCCCCGAAGACAATGGAGCTGATGACATTGGAGACAGTTCGGCTCAGGAAGAAGGTGGGATCGATGGTGGCGCCTGCGGGGTGGGCGGGGGGTGTCGAGGGGGGAGAGACGGGGATTGAGGAGAGAGAGAGTCAGTTGAGGGGTCTGATGCCAGTCTGGGAATTCGAGAGGGGCCCTGCAGTGATGAGCCAAATTCCCAGCACCAGACCCCAGAGCTGGACGCGCGGACGCCTTTCCCCACCCTCGTCTCTATCCGTAGACAAAACGCCCGGGTCCTTCGCGTCCGGTGTTTTGCTGCTTCCCGCGCACGCAGGCGTCCCCCGCTCACCGCGTGTATCCCGGAAGGCCTCGATGAGGAAGCCCGCCTCCTCCTGGATGCGCTCCTCGATGCCGCGCTTGCCCACGCCGAAGTCCCGCAGCGTGGAGATGGAGAAACGCCGCAGCTGCTTGGCGCGCTCCCCGTTGCTGAACGCCACGCCTGGGGAGGTGAGCGCGGCGGCGGGCGAGGGGCGGGGAGGTGAGCGCGGCGGCGGGCGAGGTGAGCGCTGGGTGGGGGAGTGGAGGGGGAGGGGCCGGCCTCAGAGCAACCCGGAGGGGCTCCTGAGCGGGGGCAGGTGGGGTGGGCACAGAGCGAGAGAGGAATACAAAGTCGGAGTCAGAGAAATACAGAAAGAGATAGAGGTCGATTTGGAAGAAGAGAACCAGAAGAGAGAGAGAGAGAGGCAAGACGGATAGATGTACAGAGAAACAGAGACACTGGGATGGAGAGAGGGAAGGAAGCAAGTAGGGCGGGGAGAGAGATCCGTAGATCTGGGAGGTGGAGATGAAAATTGTGAAAGATTCTAAAACTGACCTAGAGAGGAGAAAAAAATAGGGAGAGAGTAACAGAGAGGGTCTGGAAAGAGCAGCTTTTCTTACCAGGAGATAGAGGCGTGGGGGATTTCACGCAGAAATAGTGTGAGACTCTAAGAGGAAAAAGAAAGGAAAGGAGAGAGAAACATGGGGAAGCACAGAAGCTGAGAATGATTAAAAAAAAGAAACAAACCCAAAAAGGCAAGTAGAGGCAAAGGACCAGAGTTCAAGAACAGAAATCCCAAGGGGTTCTAAGAGATGGACAGATACAGGAAAAGAAGAGACATCTAGTGAGAGAGAACAGGGAGACGGGCAGAGAGGGGCAGGGAGAAATTGGGACACAAACTAAGGTGAGAGACAGGCACAGGGAAAGGCAACAATCAACAGGATGGGGAGAGAAGACCAGGTGAAGGGCTCTGTCATACCCTTGAGTGGGCAGGTGAGCAGGGGAGAAAGCTGGGGAAACTGAGGTCATCATGTCTGCCTGACCACATTCCCCAACCCGGGGCCCCACTCACCATAGCCTTTGAAGAGCCAGTCGAAGGTGGCCTGCTCTCCTCGGCCGCTGAATTCCTCAGCCTGGTCCACCAGAGCCTCCTTTACGGCATCCTGTCCACACAGCACCACTACCCGCCTGGGCCCCAGGTGGATCGTGAACACGGGGCCATAGCGCTCTCCGATCTGATGGAGGTGGGTGGGAGTGGTAGGAGTACTGGCCCCGTATCCAGATGTCATGACTAGGATGCGTTTCCCTGAGACTGAAGCAGTCAGGGGACTGAACATCCCAAGATCTGGTCTTTCCTGGCTAGGACCCTGATGCCGAATCTTCAAAACTTCCCTTTCTTAAGACTCTGGTCTAACCTGGTCAGTGTCCCGCCACAAAGCTCCAGCCAAACTGAGAAACTGCCCCCACCCCACCACCACCATCCCACCCATCTCCCTGCCTCCCGACACCTTCATTAGGGAGTTGTACATCTGCTCTGTGTTCAGCTGCAGGTAGTTGCCAATGAAGGGCAGGGGGGTGGGTCCCGGAGGCAGCTTCCCCCAGAGCTTCCTCTGCCGCCAGACAGACATCAAGATCATTACAGTCAGGCAGGCCAACAAAGCCACCAGAAGCAGCCCTGAGGCCAGCATGGTAGCGGTGAGAGTGACAGTTGGATGGTGATGGCTGGGATGATTTGCCTTTATACTACCTGGGAGAGAAGGGTAGACTTTAGCTGATTATATAATTGTCTCATTTTACCTTCTAACTACACACCCCTCCATGAATCCCGCCTAGTTTGGGGCACAGCCAGAAAGGGGGTAACCCAGGGCTGTGGATTTAGGCATGGCAGTAGATAACTGCAGAACTGGAGATTTTGGAATATTTGCCTAGGGGAGCACCTGAACTTTGGATTTGGGGTCTCAGAGTGAGAAAGAACCTCAAAGTTGTGGATTTGGGGGTCTCAGAAGAGAAGAATCCAAAGGTCTGGATTTTAGAGGGCTGAGACAGGATGTGTAGCTGTGTGTTGGGGGTCCTGCAGTGAGGAGGGATGTAGGTTTAAGGGTCTCAGGAGGGGAGATTTCAGAAATATGACTTGATGGTCTTGGGGTGAAGAGGGGCCCAGGGTTATGGATGTGGTGTTCCTGGGAGAAGGGTGTGAAAAGCTCAGCAGGGTCCTAGAGTTAGCACCTGACCCCAGGTGCTGACCTGCTTTTGCTTTGGGCCTAGTGCTGTCTCTTGATACCCAGAGTCCTCAGCGGAACCTCAAAGTGAGGCCATAAGTGCCAGGATGGGTGTCATAGAACCTCCACTGCCCATCTCTGGAAAAAGGCTACAAGACCAGAGCCACATTTCAGTGGAACTTTCCACAGAGCTGGAGAAGAGCAATTCATTGTCTCAGTTGGCAGAGGGACTGGCTAGGTTTTGGAGAATAGTAATAACACCACAAATATGGTGAGAAAATCCCAACTGTCCTAAGGGTTATAATTTGCAAAGACCCCCACTGGTTTCCTACCCAGATGCTTAGGGAAACCCGCTAGATCAATTGTATCATTTCTATTGTTGTTGTTATTATCGTTTCCCATTATATCTATGCCCATACTCAGGGCAGAAAACAGAGAGTGGATTGGGTCAGATGTGTGAAAGCCTCTTGAGCCGAAAGCCTTGAACTCCAGTCTCCTACTCTGCATTCTCAGTTTCCCCTTTCTGAACTTGGTTTATCTGCCAGTAGAAAGGGAGTATTTGGGAAGAGAAAGTAATATGAGGGTGTGTGTGTTAAATCTGCTTTAGGGGCAATTCCTGATTTGTCATGGGCTGCTATTAGCAGGCAGAGGGAAATATAGCAGGAGAGATTTGGGTAAACTGCAGTGTTGGGAACTGAGGTAGACCCTGGAATGCTGAGGGTAGGAAGGAAAGAAGGAGGGAGTGGCCCTACTGTCCTTCCCTCATTGAAATTCTTCCTCGGTAATAAGGACAGTTACCCTTTGGTGAGTGCTTGTTGTGTTCCAGGAAGATTAAGTCCATGTGTGCATGATCTTATTTAATCTTTGTAACGATGGGGCTGGTTCATGGCCAGCCTCATTTTGAAGAGGAGTAGATCAAGATTCCATAAAGCCACTTGCTTGAGGTAGTAAGTGAGGGAGCCGGGATTTGAACTCTCTCCCCTTTTCCCTTCACTGACTGGCCTAGTCCACCCAGGGACCAGTGGAGACCATGCTTAGCAGCAGGTGGGTGCTGAGATTGGCATTAGCAGTGGACACAGGGATTACACTGGCAGGTTCTGATATCAGCATCAGGTAGGCCTGGGGAGGAAGGGGCATCATGTTGGCATTGAAATTGCCCCCAGGTATACACTAGGGTAGGAAATAAGTTGGCACTGGACTTGACACTAGGAGAATATTAATAAAGCCACCTCTGGTGCCAAGAGGGTTCTGAGAGTGGGCCCAAGTGGTCATTGAGGCTGGCTTCAGGAGGGCATTAGAGTGGCAACATAAAGGCTCTGATGTTGGTCTTGACAGGCTGTGATGTGAGCAGTAGGTAGGTGCTGAGATTTGTCCTATGTGGGCCTGAGATTTCTCTCAGCTAAACCATGGGAAGGGCTCCAAATGGGTACTTGGCAGGCTCTGACAGTTGGATTTTCCATGGTTGTACCCTGCCTCAGGGCCTCTAACTTTGGACAAGTGCAGGTGGGTGAAATTGGCACTCCCAGGACTGGCATCTTGCTCAAACTGTTTTAGGCTGCTGGACTCTTGAGACTTGTGGGGAGGGAACGGTGGACAGAAAACAAAGCAGAGAGGGGAAAGTTGTTTGTTGGTTTTGGAGGGGAAAGAGGTGGGAAGGAGGATTAGCATGGGTTTGGCAGGTATCAGTCCACCTTATCCTGATCACCTGCATGCACCTGGGTTGGCCCCAAGCCTGGGTCCCTCCTCTTCCCGCTGTTTGTTGAAAAGGAGAGAGGTAGAAATTTGGATGTTTGTTTCTCCATGAGGTTGGCACCAGGAAGGGCACTGAATGTTCAGACAGGCTGCCATGAGTTGGCCAGGGAGGGTTTGGGGGTGGGTCAGACTGGATGAAGCGCTTGGGGACACAGAGGTTATTGTGGATTAAATTGAGATCAAACAGATTTGGCCTTGTTGATTACCCTGGACTGGGGAGGGAGAGATCGGGGTCTGAAATCACATGGGAGGGACACGTCCCAGTGGGCCAATGGCTTAGGGACAGGCTTCCTGAGTGAACTAGTGGTGAACCCAGAAACATTCCTTCCTCTTGCTGGGCCTCAGTTTCCCATTCTGGATGCATGGTACAGTGCTTAAGAACAAGGTGGGGTCTGAAATCACATGGGAGGGACACGTCCCAGTGGGCCAATGGCTTAGGGACAGGCTTCCAGAGTGAACTAGTGGTGAACCCAGAAACATTCCTTCCTCTTGCTGGGCCTCAGTTTCCCATTCTGGATGCATGGTACAGTGCTTAAGAACAAGGTGAAGCATTGATTGGAATCCTAACCTTATCCTTTTTCTGTTGTGTGACCCTGAACAGGTGACTTTGCCTTTCTGAGCTTTATGGAAACATGACAGCATACACCTCTTAGGCTGCTTCAGTGAGGGGTGTATGGGTTAATGCATGTGAAGTACATGACAGTAAGTACTTAATAAATATTAGCGTTCTTATTAATCTGTAGGATGAAGGAGACTGATGAGAGATGCCCTAAGCCCCCTCTTGGCTTTTATATTCTCTGATCTAAAGTTCCCCAAGCTTTACCTTTGGGAATAGGAGAAGGGAGAGAGAGTTTTTTAGAACCTCCCTCCCATCCCTTCCTCAGCACAGCTGAGCCTTACACCCTGGAGCTATGAATAGGAAATTGATTTCCTAGGCAGCTTCCTGGAGGGATGGTGCTAGATTACGCAGGATCTGAAGAAGGATGGGTCGGCATAGACCCTCAGATTGTTCTGGATGAGCCTGGAGCCCTGCACAGCACTTTGCCCATCTGTCTCTCTCTCTGTCTCTCCGCTTGTCTCTGACACTGTCTTTCTCTTTCTCCTTCCCTGCAAGTCAGCCTTCCCCTCCACCTCCCTGTATGCTTCTGGATCTCTGTATGTTTGTGTCATTTTGTCCATTGGATTTTCCTAGATGCCTCTGTCATATTTATTCTTAT